CTGAACTTTGTTATTATTATAAACTGCATTCACTTTGCTAATTAGTCACTTATCAAAGCAACAGCAAGACCGGCCGGCGTGGACCATCTACCTGTGTTTTTTCCTCGTCAATCAACCGTTTCTTCTGCTACAAAAGACACAAAAACAATATTTTGACGTTTCTCTACAAGAAGACAACCTATAATAACCACGTATGTCGTCTCTCGCCCCATTTATATGGAAATTGCTCGTATTCTTTAGCGCTCTGAGATTCTTTTGAACGAAAGGCACACTATAATCAAAATCAAACCTTGAATCGATTTAAAAACATAGTCGTCAAACAGGCTTTGAACGTAGCAATAATGTTAAATATGAAGTATGGAGAAACTAAATGGCCAGTGGTGCTAACAGTAAAAGAGTACCATAGAAGCTATTGTCACAGGCTAAAGAATGGCTCGAGTGACAAAATTCTAACCTAAGGAAAAGTGGAGCATAACATTCCTGGTATTGACAGGGCGATATGAGAGAGAGCAGGCTGCGCGCTCTGCTGAAGAATCACTAAAGACAGCTTACATTTAACCGTAGAGGGGCCGGAGGGGCTTACTTGACCCTCCATTGGAGCCCCTGTCGGCTTTGGGCTGGGTGAAGATGTATTTTGTAATGCTGCTATAAGGTTAAATCTGCCTGCATGAAATTAGAAAACTGTATTTGTTCCATTCAAATTCCTCTCTTGTCATTACAATACATTATGCTCAAAAAATGAAATCTATTAAGCGATTTAAATGGTGGCCTATTCTCTCTATTTCTGTGCTTATGGTTCAATATTTAAAATGGGTAAAGACTGTGGAGAAATTATATACAGAAGCTCAGACAAGCTTTTAGCACTATTGTTACAGAAGAGATTAGGATTAGAGGTTAGAGATTATCTAATGTCGACAAATGTTGAATGAATGAAAGTTTCTGAATGTTGTTTAAGTGAACGTCAAAATATACAGACGTGTATCGCAGAACATGTTATCGTAATTTATGTTTGGCTACTTTATTTGTATTTATCTATCTATTTATGGCACACACGCTTGGCTTTGAATAACAAAATCCACCTGTCACTCAGAGGGCAACCAATTATATAGAAATATGCAGGAAAATGTGCCAGTGATTGAGCAAAGAGCGGTATTAAAGAAGCAATGAGTCACATAACCACAATATAATCTAAATAACAGATTGTCACATTACATTAGCTGTGCATTTCTAATGTCGAATTTTGGGGTTTTTGCAAATATGGGTTTGTATCCTATTATCACCCATTACCATAAACAGATAGGGCCTGTAATGAAGTTATTGTAGTGCTCAGCGGGACCTCTACGCTGGGAATTTGCCCTGTATTGATATGTGACGGGTGATTAATGTGGCCGCCTACTTCATCTCGGGCCAATGAATCACTGTTACACTCCAATCTTGATAAGAGCCACAGAGAGAGAATCAATACAAGCCAAGCAGAAAAGTATGTCTTGGGAGTCTGGCCATACTGATGAAAATGGACACGTTTTCTTGCATCCATCACAGACGTAACTAATCAACCAGCTCTTTGAGTCAGCAATCAGCCCACTCCACCCTCTACAGGCGCTCGCTTGATTTTGTATTTGAACTCATATTTGGTCCCAATTTTTCAGTTGATTGGAATTTTTGAAGGCTGGTTGAATTTTGCAGAATTTTCCATAAAGGTTGCATCTAATAATGAAAAATCAATCTTTGTATAAATGTGAATAGCACTTTTCAAAAACCGTGTTTACAAAGCGCGGCACAGTCAAGAGTGTCAAAGTCAAGGCCTGGGGGCCAGATCCGGCCCGTGAGACAATTTTTAGTGGCCCCTAAAATGATTTTTTATTAATATTAACTAGCAGCATTGATGGTAATGGGTGACAGAGGCAGGGGATTTTCTCAGGAGAACAACCAAATGTAATGTATTCTAACATATTAACCCAGTAACACATGATTAGAAGTGAAATGGTTCAATACAAAATGTTTTAATTGATCCAGTTTTGGTTCAATCTAAACAATAAACATATTTTGTTTTCAGAAAAATAAACCAGAAAATAACAGTGAAACTCAGGTCACATTAAAGTCATGTTGAAATATCTTAAAAATGTAAAAAACTATTATATGAAAAGGAAATCTCTTCTATTGTTTTGGCCACCGACCAGTTCCTAATTTTTTTATCGGCCCCTGACTAAAAAGAGTTTGACACCCCTGGCATAAAGCAATGAAGACAATCAAAAACAGTCAAAGAACAGTCATGTCACAGGAGATGAAAGCAGACAGACAACAAGAAAGACAAAACAAAAACAACATGGAAGAATAAAATACATGCAGAGTTTAACACAGACAGTTAAAGGAAAGCAATTCAATTAAAGTGGGTTTTAAGAAGTGATTTAAAAGAGAAGTCTGTCTGTCTCTACGGAGATGTTATGGAAATCTAAGCCTTTCCATAACGCCATCCAAACAGATTTCTCTACGTAAAGGCAGCCTACTGATGTAAATGTGTCCAACTTCACTCAATACAAATGTCATGGTGTGGCTTTTGTTTCTGTATTTGGTTTTATTTTGACATTAGTTCTCTGTGGTTTCATTTCAGTTTTACTTCCTGTCCTCTTCCCCTGTTGAATTTCTGCCCCGCCCTGATGTGTTGTACCTACATGTGTCTATATGTACCTGTGCTCTTCCTGCTTCATTGTAATTTCAGTTTTTGTTTTCTTTTAATATTATTTTTCCTCCTTAAATCATTATAATTTTTGTATTCTTGCGTTTTGAGTTGTTCTTCACTGATATAAAAAATAGCATGAAAAATGCAAATATAACGATTTGTAAAGCACTAATATGCACAATGTCTTATTCTGATCCATACTTCAGATAGCAGAACTGTTGAGTTAAAATTAAGACTTGTTCTGGATTATTAACACCATGTAGGTTTTTTTCCTGTATCTGCATTTGTTTTTGGGCTATTGGTTTCCTCAAGCAATATTCCAAAGTGTAGCATATTTTATGTCAAAACCTTTTTGTGTACAAAGTAGTACTACATAGTATTGTGTATGCATTAAGATCCCCAAATGTACCTGGAAAAGTATTTACAATTCATAATTACATTACAAACATTTAGGTTTTTTTGTTCCCCAGAGTGAGTTGATATGTGAGTTGACCATGTGTATTTGGATATTCCAAGGCCAAAAGGACTGTTTTTTTAGATTATTTGAGCAGCGAGTATTTGGTGTGTTGATCCCAGGGCAAACTTCCATTCATTGAATTTGCAGTTTCTTTATGACAGGCTGTGATGAAAGCTGACTGGCGTGCCTCCACAGAGCGGTTTGATCTGCATACTGTGGTTAATATAACATGCCTTTGCCCGTGGATGTACCTTGAACATTATGGCATGTCTAACAGAGCTCAGGCGTTTCTCATTTGTCTTTAATCTCACATGTAGCTTCTGCACAGAGCTGCGACAGAGGCGACAGGAGCCCTATTGATCCGCCGCTTGTTCATGTGGTGTGCTTTAAGAGGATGATACTTTATGGGGGAACGTAAAAAAAAAAAAATTTACAAGATTACAAATGTTGCATACCGTTTATTGTCCTTCTTTAGGACTGGCTGATTGACGATCATTGACTGTTTTGTCAGTCTCCTTGCTGCTGCTGCTGCTGCTGCTGCTTCTGCTTCTGCTTTTGAGGGTAGAACAGCATGTACTCAAACGTTTGATTTTGTCTATTTGGAGAATGCACAAAGGCCCTGCAGTGATTGTTTGTTTGCGTTTATCAGTCCCAGGTCGGATCTCTCCTGACCCCATTAGAGCCCTTTTGGTGGCATGATGGCTGGTTCCTATCGTGCTGGAGTGTAGTGATGGACACGCAGATGGTGCAGGGACTGCCTCACAGGCACATGACAAATGTGGGATTTTTCCACTGCACTCCTACACTGAAGTCTGTCACTGCCTGTGTGCACTCAGCAGGTCTCAGTGCTGCATGCAGAGATGTATGTGACAGGACTAACAGCTCAAACCGACTGACGAGAGGTCATGAAGTCAGTGCATTTACCTGAGATGGATTGCTAACAGCAATGGAATAATACAGTTCCAAACTTGTTTCCTTGGGGTTTTCTGGGTTTCCATTTATCCAAGCCTGAGCCTTATATAATGGATATGTGGATTATGGTGAAATAGACAACAGTTCTTTCAATATATTTGCATATAGAGTCAAATTTAAGAAACAACTACTCGTGTTAACTGGGCCCTTAGAGATTGAATGTTGAGTACTAAATATTGACAGCTCACACCAGTATTCCTCTTATATTACATAATCTGGCAGGATTTGGAGCTGACATGCAGAGACCCTCGGGGCTGAAGAGACTTAATACTAGAAGACGCTACAAATGTTGGTCCACTGGTGTTGACAAAGATGCTCTTTTAAGATCACAGGCAGTTGTTTTTGTAGTTTCATCCACAGGTCAACTGCTTTAAATTGTATAGTGTGTGTGTGTGTGTGTGTGTGTGTGTGAGAGATTGTGTGTATGGCAAATACATCCACAAACACGACACTATTAATAATGACTGAAAAAAGAAAATTAGACTAATTATTGCAACTCATGTTTTGGGCGACTCCAAATGCACACATCAACTCACTCTGGGGAAAAAAAACCTTATTATCCCAAAAGCTAACCCAACTGTAGGAGGTTATTCTTGGTCATTATGGTATTTATGTGTACAGCAGCAACACAATTACAATCTGCTCTCTTGCTCCTGAGAACAATACATAAAAAGAGTGTCTTATGCCTTGTGCCCAGAGTTTCTTCTGACTTTGTAGCTTGGATCTAAAGAAAGTGTAAATCCATATTGTACTCTTGGGATTTGATATCGCTCAATAGAGGTCCTCAAATAACCTCTATAAAAGGGTCTCTGGTCAAAAGAAGATAAACTTTATTTTTCGATTAGTTTTATAACCTTCATAACATTGTGTTTTGTGTTTGATCCCTTTCAGATCACCAAGCAGCAGCTTCAGCAGACCAAGGACCGCTTCCAGGCCTTTCTCAACGGAGACACACAAATAGTGGCGGATGAAGCATTCATCAACGCTGTGCAGAGTTACTCCGAGGTATTTAACCAATCCACAATAAATTATTATTTTGTCCACAGTATTACTTTGCTTTAAAATGTGGCTTTGAAACTGAAATGACACAATACAAGTGTTATTATCAGCTGTTACTCACAATGGTCACATTTTTGTAATTCATTAATTAAAGTTTCAGTAAAGAAAAAAAAAAATAGATTTCTTGTTACTGACCATAATAGCTATATTTCATTTGGCCGTACTCCCAACACTGATCATGTGCCTGAGGAATACATTTTTAACATATAATACAAACACATAGACCAATGGTTCTATGTGTGTTTTTTTATCATCATTGCATTTCTTGTGCAAACGGTTTGATTCTCTGATCTGTGTTGGCAAATTCAGCGGTTTTGCATACCCAATTTTTTTCTAATTAGTTAATAAAAATGCTTATTACTACATACAAGTTGTATTATAATCCGTAATTTATTTGAAAACTTGAGCTCATTGATTCAGCCGTAAAAAGTGCTGAGTAGAGACTTAGCGTGACGCTCGCACCCCTCCACTCACAGAACGAGGCCACGCCCTCTAGCCTCTACAGCGCTGCTAAACACTAGGGCTTTGACTTCCAAATTTGAATATCATTCGAAAATTATTCGAGCGAATATTAGACAGCCCTTAGTATTCAAAATGTATTTATTGACTGCAAATAAAATAGTTAGCTCCCAAAGGTTTCACTGTGACGTGCTAGGTGGGTAACAGCTAAGCTAGCTAGTTAAAAAACTCTCCGGAACTACATGAAAACTGAACAAATCAGCGGTGAGTTACCCATTTATATACTGAACCTAAATCCATAATCCGATCCTCTTCAAATGTGTCCTAAAATGTTCGTTTCATGTTAATGGTTACTTCCGTGTTTATCGCGATCGCTTTTTGTCACATTAAAACAGTATTTTTGTCATGAAAACAAATGATTCTGAAAACCTCTGTGCATGTGTGTTAAGGATGTATATGTATAATGTATTCCCCTATTAACATTTAATGGTGTTGATTGATTCATTGATATTTGTTTATTGAGCGTGGCTAGCTCGGCCAGCTTCTCTGCAGAGACAGAAGTAGTGACGGCCGCTGAAAGCTCGTTGTACTTGCGGAGTAATGTTAGTATTTTACACACCTGAATTACAAACAGAGATTGTGTTGCCAAAGAGCAGCGGTCATTATTGGTTTGAGTGTTCTTTTATCAAGAATAAATGATCAGTAGAACGTTTTGAAAACTTCATTCAAGTCAATGGAGTGTTCTACTGCTGTGAGGAGCTGTATGATAAATTATAATTAAGAATTCGAAACTAGCGGTATTCTTTTACTAATATATTTTGTTAGCAGTGCCATTTCATCAGTGATTGTTGTACAGCTTACAAGAAGATGCGCTAATGCTAACGTTTGCATATGTATCAGATCGCAAATAAAACTAGATGGCTCCGTGGGATGAGAGCGTAGTGGAAATGAGAAGCCTGTGAGCGCGTTGGGGGCGGTGCTAAACATTCAAACAATAGAAGGATCTTTGTTTACACCCGCGTGTGCATGCCCCCCTCGCTGTGTGGCAAGAAGACAGAGCGGTGCATACTGAAGCATGGATGCAACCAGTACTTTTAAGACTCAGTGGGCGAATAGCAGTGTATATAAGCACTTTAACGCAAGAAGATCAGAGGAGATATAAAGACAAGCTAAAAATAAGTATATGAGAGAACACTGAACAAATTCAAAGCCCGTATGAGATCTGGGATGACGAGAAGAAACATTGGTCAGAGAGTTAAGCTCTCTTTTGGCACCGATCTGCTGGGACTGGGACTCGGAGACATTTATTCTTACTTCATAGAAATGCAATGTTTAAAATTAATCATCATTCATGAATGAATGAGTGAACAAGTCCGCAGTGTAAGCAGTTGCAAAACTTAAATTTGTTTATGAATTTTTATCCCCTCATCCCCCCTGGCTTCCCTTTCTACGTTTACCGTAGGTAACAGCATAAAAGGGCAACCACTTTACCGCGGCCGTTTTTTGCTGTTCTTTTCCGAAAGAATTAGAAAAAAAACTTAATCCTTCCCCAGCGGGCCGTACAACCGACCACACAACAAGAACGGACCATTTGATTTAGTAAAACCTCTCTACAAACATCTAAAATAGCTAACTCTGTAGCATCCAGGTAGCTTTCTGTGCTGTAGTGCCACACAGTCACGTGACCGGAGCGGAAAAACTATAAACAACGACGTCACTCCAAGATCCTCCTATAGCTCCTTTAGGTCCTCCGAGATTACTACTGTTGTGATTTAGGGCTATACAAGATAACATTGAATTTAATTGGATTGAATATAAACATCAATAGCATATAACACCAAATCATGTATACTTTTTATAACGCCCAAATACACCTCACAATACTCTGATATTTGCAAATTTATCTTGTGAATAAATTGGTTTATCTGCAGTAATTCTGAAATGTTTGGATTGTCTTGTAATGCTTTTAGATTTGAGATTTAAACCTCAGGAAGAGTAGTCTCTGCAATTCTGGAGGCTATAAAAAAATATTCAATCACTCCATACACAATGGTGGGAAACTACTGCTGTAGCCATATACTGTGTACTATATCCACATTTTTTCCACCAAATTCTCTTACAATCCAACTTTCCAATCCAATTTAAGGGGTCCTAAACATAACTTTAAACATACATACATACAAACATACATAAATACGTAAATAAAAAAGAAAATAATAATAAAATAAATACAAAAAAATGCTTTTTCCTCCCTTAAAAAAATAACATAAATGACATTATTGACATGACATTAGTGACATCAACAATCAAAGAGTTTTAAGGAAAAAATATAATCTTGAACATCATCAGAAATAACAGAATTGCTATTATAACACGTTTAATTGCATCATTACATGTAGCCTCCTGGATGCACACTCTGTAGATTGCTGGTATTTTTTTAGCCCAACAACATGTTCAAAATGACAGTCACGCTACTTTCCCCTGATAGCAGAGCAAAGTGAGGAGCGAAATGGTGCTAAATCTGTTCACACCAGAGATTATGAGTCAGAGCATGTGGCTAAACTCACTTTCCTGATCCTCCATGAAAAGTTCCCATTGCTAATACATTACCTCTGTATTCTGCAAATCACAGAGCTGATATCCTGATGCGCTCGGGCTAAATCCACCAGGAATCCATTATTTAGCCAAAATGAACTGTCAAGGGAAAGCCATCTGTAAATTACTTCCAGGGAATTAATTGCAAAATAACCCCCATTCAGTCCATGCAGCCGCTAACCTGAATTATGAGTTTAATATGCTGCGATTTCAAATGCGGATTTAATGTTGTAAATTAAAAAGTAATGTTTTTATATAACCGCCTATAATACACCTGGATGATTCTTTCACATTATCCCTTCATTACTCTGACTGAATACAAGGCTTATCTGAGTTTTCCCTTGGAATAGAGAGCTATCAGACAAGTTTGGTATAACACGGTTCAAAATCAAACGCCAATTGCTTAACAGAACACACAAATCAGTCAAATCGTTAAAAAAAAATCACTTTACATTAGAAAGAGTAATGATATAACAGTTGCGTGCACAGCTAACCTGGATTTGAACATTGTCAGAAAAGAAGCCTGTCTCACATTTTCAGGAAGACAGATTATAGCTGCGTGAATCTGAAATGCTGTGTCTCCAAGTTTAGTCCTGACTCTGGGCCCCAGCAGGAGACCAGTCCCTGTGCTCTTCAGAGTCCGAGTTGGTTCATATGGCACATGTTATGAATGCATTTTGGTGCGAGGCCATTGAGATTAAGATAAAGATTGAGAGATTCTTTATATATTAAATAAATAAAAAAACTTACTATACATCCCATAGTGAGGACATTTCAGTGTTGCATCACCGTATACAGAACAGTAGGACAGATAAGTGAACAATAACTATTTACTAAAATAAAATAAATCTCTTACTTTAGCTTAAAGGAGCAAGTGGCAACAGTGGCTCAGTTAGTCAGCATTGGCCTTTCGAGCCCACCACAAGACCTTTTCCACCGACTCCCACTGAGGTCTGCTGTCGTTGTGTCCTTGGGCAAGACACTGAACCCCACTTTGCCTGAAGCCCCCACTGAAAGATCAAGGCTGTGTTGTTCCTGACAGAGCAGCCGTCCTCCTGTGGACTCACCACCCCCAAGATCCGTGAGGGGCTGGTGCTCTGTGACTTGGGTGGCATCTCTGACTGCCAACCCCCCCCCGACCCAGAAATGGATTAAGGGGGGTTCCCCATGTTTTTGATGATTTTCCCATGTTGTTAGACAAGGACATATAAATATGTGCGTTCAATCAACTCCCATCTCAAACCTGGTTAGCTACGTATATCATCAGAATATTCAGAGGCTATAACATTATTGATTGGTATTTTTTTTATTCATGAACTATATTGTTTATATTTACACATCTCATGTTAAAAGTGTCAGTTTCTATTGTAGTATTAATCGTACCCCTAATGCCTCTGCAGGTGTTTCTAAAGAGTGACCGCGTGGCCAAGATGGTGCAGAGCGGCGGCTTCTCAGCCGGAGATTTCAGGGAAGTGTTCAAGAGGCACATCGAGAAACGTGTTCGCAGTCTGCCAGAGATCGACGGCCTGAGCAAAGAGACCGTGCTCAGCTCGTGGATGGCGAAGTTTGACACCATCTACCGCGGAGACGAAGACCCCCGCAAGGCTCAGCAGCGCATGACGGCCAGTGCTGCCTCCGAGCTCATCCTCAGCAAGGACCAGCTGTACGAGATGTTTCAGAACATTCTGGGCATCAAGAAGTTCGAGCACCAGCTGCTGTACCAGGCCTGTCAGGTGAGACACACTCACAGTGAGCTATAACGAACTGCCATCGCTAAGACAAGCCTCTTTGGTCAGAAATAACTAAATGGAATCTTATGGAATCAAGTTTACTCAAAGTAAATTGTAATGCAGATAATACTGAGACTAGAGGAACATGTAGCAGATTGATTTAAACTTTACAGGCCTGCACAGTGATCTCCTCTAACCTAAAACTTGTTTTATGTTTCCAGCCCATCAATACTTGATTAGATGCAGACTGTGTTGAGATTGCAGGGAGACAATTAAGTGCATGTGTGGAACAGTGCTCTCCTTCCTTTTTTGTCTTTACTGTGGCTGTTATAGCCTCCATAATGGCTTCTCTCTTCAGGAGCTGGATTAAAACTTTAATCACAGCAGGGTAGGAAGGGAGGCTTTCTCTAAATTTGCATCAACTAGTCATTTCAAGTATGATGACAATTGCACCATTGTGCTTTTTATAGCGCTACAGACCTGCAACTCCAACACTCCGGTTGTAATGTTAAAATGTAAATACTCCATCTGCTCTAGATGCTTCTGAGGTCTGTTTGCACAAACAAAAGTTCTTCATTTCAAACTTACAAAGAAAAAGGAGGATTTTATCTTAATTTTTTGGGATAGTTTGATTATTCTTCAGAAGAAAAAAAAAAATTGCATAGTGACTCTATTCAGTCCTTTTTTTCCTGGAACAGCTTTTATGAGGTTAGAAATGTTCTAATGAAAGACTACTAGTGATTTATTTTCACACATCCCACACTAAACCTTGAGATTTAGCTAAAAAGCGTCCTGGGCTAAACAAACAGTTCTAAAACATGTGCTTTTGTAGTCTACTATGTGCGATCATGTTGTAAGAAGTTGATTTGCACATCACTCAGCCTCCATGTTGCGAAGGCTCAGTGAAAGCAGCAGAGCACACGGGCTGCACGGCTCGCGGCGGCAGGGATTTTGATGAAAGGTTCCCAGGGTTTGGCCGAGAAGAGTCCGTGTTTTTGAGCATGGATTTAAATTCATCCAGTCTCACATTGAAGACAAGACTCAGAGGCAACAACAAGTAAACATTATCACCTGCTTGTCAAACGGAAAGCCATTACTTTTTTCTGTGATATCCCCCAGGACGGGCGACAGTAGCTCAGTTGGTAGAGCATTGGCCTTTGGGCCTGAAGGTCGTGGGTTCAAGCCCACCATAAGACCTACTTCACGACTCCCACTGATGACTGCTGTCATTGTGTCCTTGGGCAAGACACTTAACCCCACTTTGCCTGATGCTCCCACTGAAAGATCTCAGCTCCTGTGGACTCACCACCTGCAGGAGGATCAGTGAGGGTTTGGTGCTAAGTGTACTGGGTGCAGCTCTAACTGCCACCCCCCCGACCCAGAAATGGATTAACCTCCTGAGACCCGAGCATTTGTCTGGTGTGCATTTTATATATTTTTTTGCTATTTAGGATAAGTAGGACCCAATAAGTATAATACCTAAATTGTGATTTTGTACAGGAAGTAGTTTTTGAGAAAAAACATGTCCTCGCATGAGGACAGTGGGTCTCTCATAACCTAAAGAGAAAATGTATGATCTTTTAGGCCGGAAGGTCCTAATTAGTTGAAATTCAAAATTTCAGCTTGATCCAATTAGTACTTCTCTCAAAAATCAATGTCCTCACATGAGGACAGTGGGTCGACCTTACTATACAATACAAATAGACTCCATTGGTCTAAAATAGTATATAACAGTTTATTTGAAAAATGTAAACATCAAAGTTAGACATAAAATCCAAACAGCTCTATCTTCAAAGCCTAAAAATGTCATGGTGTGGACATTTTGACCTGGTTGAGTTTGAATCCTGCCTGTCCTGTTGATTGTTTCCCCGCCCTAATGTGATTCACCTGTGTGTCCCTGTGTGTGTATATATACCCTGTGCCCTTCCTCACTTGTTGTCCGTCCATTGTCTCCACAATGTTTGTCCTGTCTTCAGTTCTGTTTTTACATTACCTTGGATTTATTTTATTAAATTACTTTGATTTTCAGTCCTGCAATTTGGGTTCCCTTTTTCTTCATTCATCCACATGACAAAAAATTGGCTATACATAAATAAAACCGCAAAATACTGTGTAAACTGTCTATTTCAAGCCTTCAATATGGCTGAATTGAATTGATAAATACAATACTAGAACAAATAATGGCAAATATTATTAACAGTCCTAAAACAGTAAAATTCTGCTGAACAGCTTATGAACTGGGGCTTTTTTCAAACTAGCTCCCTCTGTTTTTCTAGAAAGCAATCTGTCTGCCTGTTTGGAAGAGCCCTATTGGCAAGTGTGAAATGCTGCAAAGCAGTTGCATTCACTTTGCAAGCACAGGTACACATTGCATGTCATGCATCGGACACAGGCTTTTCCAATGCAGTCTTGTGCTCTGCAATGCATGGGGTTTTTCAAGGCTACCATCTCCGGGTTAGGGTTAGGATTACAATATCCCCAGTCGAGGTCAGCAGCTCTCCACCCGCACCATACACGGTGTTGGCAAAGCACTGCTTCCCCCTCCTGAGGCGCCGGAGGGTTTGCCATAACCTTTTTGAGGGCGACCGATAGTCATGCTCCATGGACTCTCCGAACTCCTCCCAGTCCCGGGTTTTTGCCTCTGCAACAGCCCGGGCCGCGGCACGCTTGGCCTGCCGGTACTGGACAGCTGCCTCAGGAGTCCCACGAACCATCATTGCACAATAGGACTCCTTCTTCAGCCTGACGGCATCCCTTACTGCCGGTGTCCACCACCGGGTTCGGGGATTGCCGCCGGGACCAGCACCAGAGACCTTGCGACCACAGCTACGAGCCGCTTTATTGGTGATAGAGGAAGAGAACATGGTCCACTCGGACTCAATGTCCCCCTCCTCTGGGTCCTGGGAGAAGCTCTGCCGGAAGTGTGAGTTGAAAGTCCGTCTGACAGGGGGCTCAGCGAGACGTTCCCAGCAGACCCTCACTATACGCTTGGGCCTGCCAGGTCTGACCGGCTTCTTCCCCTGCCAGCGGATCCAACTCACGACCAGGTGATGATCGGTTGACAGCTCCTCCCCTCTCTTTACCCGAGTGTCCGAGACACGCGGTCGAAGGTCAGATGATACGACAACAAAGTCGATCATCAACCTCCGGCCTATGGTGTCCTGGTGGACACCCTTGTGCTCGAACATGGTGTTCGTGATGGACAGACCGTGACTGGCACAGAAGTCCAACAACTGAACACCGCTCGGGTTCAGATCAGGGGGGCCGTTCTTCCCGATCACCCCTCTCCAAGTGTCACTGGCGTTTCCCACATGGGCGTTGAAGTCCCCCAGGAGAATAACGGAGTCCCCGGGCGGTGCACTGTCCAGTACCCCTCCCAAGGACTCCAAGAAGGCCGGGTACTCTACACTGCCGTTAGGCCCGTAGGCCGTCACAACAGTGAGAGACTTGTCCCCCACCCGGAGGCGGAGGGACGCGACCCTCTCATTCACCGGGGAGAACTCCAACACGTGGCGGCTGAGATGGGGGGCAATGAGTATGGCCACCCCAGCTCGCCGCCTCTCCCCGCGGGAAACACCAGAAGATGACTGACAGGTATGAGATGATGATACAATCATCCCCATCTGAGAAGTCCTCTATCTCAGAGTTGTCTGCAATTGCCAACAGCAATTGTTCTGCTCTTGACAATGAAAGTGTGCCTGTAATGATAATGTTAAAAACCAACATCAAAATCTACAGTATATCAGTGACACTTCATAGCTTGGCTATCATGTGCTAGCTATAGCCTAGCTATATTGTTTATGATTTAGAATTTAGCAACACTAAACAATACTTAGCATATACCACTTAGTACTTAAATATACTATTTACAACTGTAAACCACATAACTAAGCAAATGTGTGATTCAAAATAACTATTTACAACTGTAACTTCATCTAAATCTTCCACACGGTTAGCTAAACAGATAGCGGTACATAGTCCTAGCGTCCTCAAACGAGTGCTTCACTTTTACTGACATCCTAGCCTGCTACTACAATCAAAATTTGTCAAATTTCAAACTCGATATGAAGCTAGAGACATTATTGTGCATAAAAAAATGGATTTCATTCATAAAATGTTGATAGAATTTTTACCTGGGGCATTTTTCTTCTGTAAACTCTTGTAGACGTCTTTTGCTGATATTGCCACCATTTTTTTCCTACTGCCTTAAGTGTAATTCTATCATATCACCACAAGATGGCGCGGGCAGTGTCCCTAAATGTGGCCATCAGGTCAAGGATGTAAAAAATTGAGTATCATTGTGCCAAGAGGCAAAAATGTAATGTCCTCGTATGAGGTCGCAGGGTCTCAGGAGGTTAAGGGGAAGAAAATGGATGGATGGATGGATGGATCCCCCAGGACATCTATTTTTAATTCTATCTATATATTAACTCAACACGACATATAGTTTGAGGGTGTTGCCTGCTTGTGTTTGTCAAGCTTGCTCCACTTTAATTATGCAAAACCTGAACCCAGGTCATGCCAACATAACATGTTAATCGGTAATTCCATACATTCACTGTCACATTTCTATTAAAACAAATCTCCTTACAGCCGATTAGTGAAGTGTTTGGACCTTATAGTGTTTATGAGTACAGTCTATGCGCCTATACCGAAAGCCTGTTAAAGGTCCTAACTCTATAGTAATACTAACACTAGGTCTATACCGGCTATAAGGGCAATAAGGGCTGGCAAATACTAATTTACAACAAATTCACAATGTGTGAAGAGGCAAGAGCATCTGCTCTGTCTACTGCACACTGGGCTAGTCTTGCACAGTTATTCCAATGTGGTCTAACTGCATATGGTAAATAAACTGAATCTTGAATATTTTGTGTTATAGCATCTTAGGTTTAGGATCTCACTGCAAAAAGTGATGATAAAAGGCTTTAAAAAAGCAGTGTGTAAAAATATGGACAACTGTGGTACTGTACTCTCCCTGACTCAGGTTGCAAGATATGCGG